TGGTATACACTCGCAATAAAACACAACACACTGTGCTTTTGTCACACTGTAAACTCTTGTCAAACTGTAACCTACAACTGTCACCCAACCAAAATATCACACACTGTTTTAAAAGCAAAACATATTTATCCAACTCCATTTCAAAACAGTCTGTGGGTTCCATCTTTTGGACATTCGTCATATTGCATTGGTTTCCATTTCTTGTCCTCGGAGCGCTAATCTTACACATTCTACATTGATTAAAAAAAGAAAATCGAATGTGTTTTTAATGGTAGTATTATTTTATACAGAAATCAATTATTTATAATTCAGAAGAGAATAATGTTACATTGTCAATTAATAATGTTAATTAAAATTAAGGAAAAACAAATATTTTAATCTGAGATATAGCAAAATAATTTTAAATTAATTCAGGTACAATTACCAAACATATCACAAGGTCTTTTTGTCTTTTTATTAATTTAATTATTAAACTAATTATATAAAACTATTGTCAGTGCACTACAAAAAAACTGGTTCTATGCCTTTATTAAAAAAAACTTATTTACAAAATACAATGCCTTCTGCATTTTTGTTTTGCTTTTCCCTCCATTGTACCGAAATCGTACCGTGATGTCTGAACCGAGGTATGAACCGAACCGTGACTTCTGTGTACCGTTCCACCCCTAATATATATATATGTGTGTAGTATTTCAAATTGTAAAAAGTATATTGTATATTATAGTTGAATAACAGTGAAACTTACAACAGTATTTACATCATCTGTAAGGTTTTTGCGACGCTAGATATGCCGCTCCAAACACTGTCACCTGCTGTGATGGTGCTCTTCATCTGACTAAGTGCGCTTATGGATTAAACTGGTGGTCTTGAAACCCCATGAGTTCTATGTTGTCTCACAAAAAGCTTCAACTCGTCATTAAACATTCATGCAATACAGTCCCATGAGGCCTTTTGAGAGGACCAGTCTATCACCGTCAGACGCTCCCTAAAGCACATGACAGAGCGCTTCATTAATAATCATGTGAGGACAGTATGGATATTCTGTGAATATACTCCTGAGTTTAATGGTAACGTGACAAATCGACAAAAAAAATCAAGTTCAAAAGTCACGGATCCTGTTGACATTCAACACACTTACTGTGATGAGGTCATACGAGTCAAATGAAGAGGGTTTATGTTACGTTATGTTAACAGAAAGGGGACATTTACAAAGAGCCGTCCACAGATAAACTGCCAATGTTCTGCTAACAATGTTATATATAACATAATTATACTAAGGATGCCCCAAAATATAACTATCTGTAAATACAAAAAGAAAGAAATATTTTAAACAAAAATTACATCAGTATCAAAAGGTGTGATATTTATAAGGTGATATTTCCTATAACAGAATTGATTTTCAGATGCATATTTTAGCTTTGTGAGAGCATATTTAATTAATTGTGGCATTTTTGTGAAATGATGTGCTTTAAATAATTTCAGGCATCAAATCAGGCATCAAAACAATTTAAACTAGAGTAAGTAAGTAAGATAAACTTAAACTTTTTACAGTTTTTGAAATACATAAAATATATAATAAATCGTTCAAATACACTACCGTTCAGAAGTTTCAGTATTTTTTTGAAAGAAAGAAAGAAATTAATACTTTTATCAGCAAGGACACATTAAATTGATCAAAAGTGACAGTAAATACATTTATAATGTTTCAAAAGCTTTCTATTTCAAATAAATGCAGTTCTTTTGAACTTTCTATTCATCAAAGAATCATGAGAAAAAAAATTACATCACGGTTTCCACAAAAATATGAAGCAGCACAGCTGTTTTTAACATTGATAATAATCAGAAACATTTCTTGAGCAGCAAATCATCATATTAGAGTGATTTCTGAAGGATCATGTGACACTGAAGACTGGAGTAATGATGCTGAAAATCCAGCTTTCATCACAGGAATAATTTACTTTTTAAAATACTGTAAAAGCAGTTATTTTAAATTGCAATATTGTTTCAAAATATTACTTTTAAACTGTATCTGGATCAAATAAATGCTGCTGAGAAGAGACTTCTTCAAACAGTGATCTTTTAAAAAAGCATCTAAGAATCTCCTTCAGTTATACTATTTTCATTAGTGCATGAGACCGTCTTCAGTGGGCAGTGAGATCTAAACATAGTGAAGAAAAGAGCGCATCTGACAGCAGCATCTCCAGATAAAGGCACCATTAGACTCTGCAGGGTCGCTGGGGCATTTCAGGGGCAATTTCCACCAGTTTGCTCCTCCACTCACAACAGCAAATACAGAAGATGACATGCTCAGGCTCCCAGAGGAGTCTGTCAGTGGGTATTAATGATTTACCAGCAGGCGCTAATCGCTGCTAACAGGAACATGGAATAAAACACAAACAGACCAGACATGAGCACTGTGTGCCCTCAGTTTTAAAGAGTTTTTGTGACATAAGGCAAATGTAAAATGAAAATGGCAATGAAACAGTTACTAAAGCATTAAAAGAGAATCCCAGGCGTCTGTGCAAGATGAGCATTAGTGACATCGATTCTTGATGTGAATTGTGAATGGTTCCTGTGACCTCAATCAGACCTGAGGTTCCCCAACCCACAACCACTAAAATATTCATCACTGCTCGTCCCACCACCCAACTACACAAACTTATACGATTTGGATTGAAATAACAAACAAAGAAAAAATATGAATTTAAAGAGAAATTAAAATTCTGTCATCATTTACTCACCCTGATATCTTTCCAAACCGGTAAGACTTTCGTTCATCTTTGAAATACAAAGATCTTTTAAATGAAATCTGAGAGATTTCTGTCCCGCCATTGACAGTCTACGCAACTACCACTTTGACGTTTCATACTACCGTACTTTCTTATCAGCACAAAATGATTCACTTGGTCACTAACAGCAAAACACCACACCAGCACACTAAAGAAGATGTGTCAAGGTGACTTTGTAAAAGCAATTTACAGAGCATTTAATACAAGGAAGGTCTGCCTGGAGCAACTGGGGGTCCTAGTAATTCCCATGAATCCCCCCTTCAGGGGTTTGAATCTCCAGATAACTGGCCCTGATCTTTCACAACTAAGTAACCTCCAAAGACTGCAGCAGATCTGAATTAGCCATGTTTTAACCTCTCTGACACGGACACTACACAGTGTGAGACATTGTTTGACTTTAAAAAGAAAACCTTTGAGTTAATGCTATATGAGGGTCATGTTTTTAATGTTTAATGGTGTGTTCACACTTGGTTCGGTTGAAACGAACTGTTGCGATTGCTCTGTTAATGTGGTTCATTTGCCCTGATAATATGTGTCTACAGGTCAGAAATCATTCTAATATGCTGATTTGATGCTCAAGAAATATTCCTTATTGTTATCAATATTTAAAACAGTTGTGCTGCTTAATATTTTAGTTGAAACTGTGATATTTTTTTCCCCCCAGGATTCTATGATCAATAGAATGTTAAAAAGAACAGCATTTATTTGAAATATAATTGTGTTGTAACAATGTAAAAGATTTTAATGTCAGTTTTGATCAATTTAAGGAATTCTTGTTTCATAAAAGTAATAGTAATTTCTTTAAAAAAAAAAAAAAAATCTTACTGACTCCAAACTGTTAAACAATATTTTATATAAAAAATGTGGTTCAAAAACAATGGAAGCTTGTTTCCACCACAGAATAAAAAATAAAAAAAGCTAAATGCGACTTTTTATCTCACAATTCTGACATTTTTCCTCACAATTGCGAGTTACAAAGTCAGAATTGCGTGATATAAAGTCAGAATTGTGAAGGGTGGAAAAAAATCACAATTGCGAGAAAAAAGTCAGAAAATTGTGAGTTTTTGTCTCTGACTTTATAATTTGCAATTCGAGTTTATGCAGAGAAAAAGTCAGAGAAAAAGTCAGATTTGTGAGATAAAAAGTCAATTACCTTAATATTTTATTAAGTGGTGGAAACAAGCTTCTATAAAATACATACAGCTTTTTAACTCCCTTAAGTGTCACCGGCCCACCGGTGGGCCCAAATCCATTACATTTTTAAAACAGTAATATCCTATACTAAACTAATCTTGACAAACTATATATCATTTGAAAGCTTACAATCTCTAGTTTCCATATTTGGTGATTGATTTTCAAAATGAATTACAGAGGAGCCATAATTTATCAATTTGCAACAAGAATATTTTCATACTCCTAAGGCGTGTTTAGACCTTTATTTTAAAATAGTGATGAACATGAAAAATCATGAAAGAAGGGTAGAAACCTCAGTTTGTTTTCATGCCAAGAGTTCAAAAGATAGCATCCATTCAATTATTTTAGAAAAAAAGGTCTGATTTTTTTTTAAATATAAAGAAAAAATTATAGATTCACCATTTGTGATGTGGCAGGAAGCTATAACGCACATACTTGTTCTTTTTATGTTTCTTAGAGGTTGAATTCATATCAAAATCTGCCAAACTTCTCATATTACTTCTGAATAGGATGTCTACTTCATAAATTGTATGAAAATTGTGGAAATAATGGTTCATATCACTCAAAACACATATGGAAATGGAGGCGCCCTTATATGGGCAGTAATGGAGTCTGGTTGTCATCTACTGAAAAAGTTTGGTACTGCGCACAAACAAAATCTTACTGAAAGCTCATTTTTTGAGATATCAACCTAAAATTTGAAACACAACTTGTTCAGATTTTTTACTTTGATTTTTTTTTTTTTTTCAGTTTTAGAGTCGCCCAGGTTTTGAAAATATAAATTTTCTATAAAATATGAATAATTAAATTTTTTACATTGTACATTTTCATAAACTCAAACTTCTATAACTTTTTTTCCGTTTCACTTCTACAAAAATCTGCCAAAAGTCTTCTTTAAAACGAGACCAATCTTACGTCTATATTCCAAAGCATTCTTGAATTACAACCACTTAAGTTTGAAATGTGCATTTTCATGTATATTCAAAAAAAAGGGGGTGACACTCAAAAGACTCCCACCTTATAGGTTCTGCTTTCAAGTGGAAGTTTAAGGCCTCCACCAGGGTTTGCTCCAGCAGTGGGGGTTTGTCTGCTCTCCGCTGGATATCCACATGTGCAGAGTTACACAAGGCATGCACACCACTGTCAGTTCTACTGGAGATGGACACTGACACCTCATTGACCGGCTTTAGTTTTCGCACTGCACTCTACACAGAAGCAAACAAACAACAGCAATGAAATGAATGGTATCCAGACACGTAGGGCCAGAATCAGATTTACTACATCAAATTAGCGTGAGAGTGCAATTCCAAAAAAGCGCAGAAAGTTCTGCCTCTGATCCACTGACGATGCGACGTGCAAATTAAAAAGTATTTTAAATACGGCTAGTTTTAGTATTAAAGTTAAAAGTTGGTTGTTAGGTTGTTTTAGTGATGAATTTCTATTAGTATATGGTGTGTATGTGTTTAACTGTGATTGTAAATTTTGTAAATGTGAAACGTATTGTAATTTTGTATTTATAATGCTATACAATAGCAATGCACCTGTTGCTAGGAGTGAAGTTTGTGGATAACATCAAGGACCGCAATGGAAACAAGTTTTTAACTTCGTGTTATCCTTGACAAATTAGTGTTTCATTACTTTTTTGTGCAACAAATCCAATCACAGACACAATCCAATCCATGCAAGAGCAACTAACTGTCTTGCCAACAGAAATACATCACACAGGAAAACATTTATATTACATTTCCAAAAGAAATGCAGTTTAAGGAGCAGACATATTGCTTTAAATTAAAGAGGTCAGGTGACATGTTTTGAGACAAGCACCAGAAACAGAGAATTTGAATGCAGTAAAATAGAGAACTGGATCGTGTCAGTTTCAACGGACATTTTAAACATTTTCTTACCGAAACAAGTATCAAACAAACAAACAAAACAAATTGGCATCAGTCATGAGGAAAAGCTATTTGAGATAGTCAACTGTTTTTGATTGTCAGGCAGAGACTGACCTCTAAATGATTCTCAACCCCCTGTACAGCTTGATCGGCTGGTGTTCTCATCACGCCACTGAGGACAGAAGGACAAGCAGACATGTGGTGTTATAATAACTTATAACAGCTCAATAAGGAAGAAGCGTGACTGTGCTTGACATGGAGACAGACCTGTATTTGGTCCCTGCGTATTGGAAAAAGATTAAATAACGGGCGGTGGAGTGTAAAGTTAGCATGTTTCCCGGTATATTCGTTTGAAGTTTGTCAGAACGAGAAGTTAACAGGATTGAAAAAGCAGTGGACGTGTACGGCCAACAAATAAGTAGCCATTAGACGTCGTATACCCCAAATAATACCGTACCACACACGTTACAAGTCATGTTGAAAATCAGAGGCATGTGTGAGCGCCACAAAGGAAAACACAGCTGCTGTCTGACGTTTAGAAGCCGAAGCGATGCCTGTTTAAAAAAAAGGCGTTGAACTGCCAAATTACTTAAAACACACATCTTTTCAGCCTTGAGACGTGTTTACCTTACAAGAGTATTTATTTTTATACCATGTTTGGCTTTATTTGACAATATTTATTTTCTAAATGTTGGAAATTTAAAGGCGGAATTGGAGGACGACATAAACACCTTTCAAAAAAAAATCCGCGGGAGCAGGGACAAACCTGACGTAGACATTGACGTAATGGTGATTGACAGAGGGGGGCGAACTTAAAGCTCTGGTGTACATTGGTAAAGCTTTTTTTTTTTTTTAAAGATTTTATATAGAGATGGATACTAAATGTGAGTTTTGTGGAATGTAGAAGCAGACTGTTGTTCGTTTATTTGTTTCAACTGCATTTGTTGTAGAATATTTTGGAATGAAATCATGGAAGATTTTTAGGTGAAAAGGGTGATTCATAATATTATTTATTAACAGCATCAAAACTTACAGTGTACCATTAATAAAATACTGTAAAATGTAGATATTGCTTATTGTTAGTTCATTAACTAATGTTACCTAATGGGACCTTATTGTAGCCTAAAGTGTTGCTGAAAGAAAAATAATTAAAATATTTTTACTGGTGTAAAAAAAATATTTGAAGGATGACCTTATAAGGAAAGTTAAAATGATAGCACACTCTAAAATGAAAATAATTTACTCACCCTGGTGTTGTTCTATGGATATTACCGGTAAATACTTTTTTATATTTAAAAAATACTATTTATGTAACATGATGTACCTTCTTCTCTGAGATGAATATATCCATTGTGTTCAGCGTAACAAGAAGTTTTCACATTCACATCTGTCAACTGTCATTCTGACTGTTATCAGACAAGAAGTTCCGGTCCAGAGATATTTAACTCAGTGAAGAAAGCACACAGATTTCTAGGCTTTGTATTTCATGTCGTGTTTTGGTTCATCTTGATTTCTCACAACTTGTATGCTTTTCCAGAGCGACACGGAGTGAACTGCGGTGCTAATGGAGTCTCACGAATGTGTTCATCGTGCAGAGAAGCCCAACGGCCAAGGTCAAGAATTACGTTAAATACATTACATTTTGGTTTGTTTTCACTAAACCCTGCTATTCACTGCCACTATGTGGACGAGCTGGAGCGGGACATTTTTATAAAAAATTTGTGTGTTTGGCTGTGTTTGAAATCGCCCCTTATACCTTAAATAGGGTAAAGGGGGCGAGGTAGGTATGATATATTATATGAGGGGACAGCCATTTGTAGTGGTGTCCAAAACCATAGTGAAAGTTATCAAGTGCACTCATTCAATCCCATAATGCACCGCAATAATGACATATGCTCAACCATAGATATCCATAATAAAGGCTAGATGTCTCGTCCGCGCTACTGGCCAATGGAGGTCGACGTCCGCACCTGGCGGCCATCTTGTCACAGGCAGCTCGCTCACTCGTAACATTGTGGTTTAATGGTGCATGTACTTTTTAAATAACCATAACTTGCTCAATTTTCTACCGATTTTCAAACGCTTTGGTTTGTTACAAACTTCAGAGATGTAGTTATGACACTGCATACTTATGAATAATAAGTGTATAAATAAATAATCAACCAGAAATTATAGCCACGTTTATAACGTTTGTAAGAAACCAAACCGTTTGTAAATCCGTCAAGATTTCAACGAGATTTGTGTTCATGCTGATCACTCATCTTACATCAGGCACCACAGAGCCCGCCAGAAAGCTTGCCTGTGACAAGATGGCCGCCGGTGATGACGATAGAGACTCCGCCGTAAGACATCTAGCCTTTATTATGGATATCTATTTGCTCAACGGCTAGATAATACCCATAATGCACTGTGAGGGTTGTGCCTTTTTAATTGGTTTAATTAAGGTTTATACATGCTAGTTTCCATGACAGTGTTCAAGATAAATCTTTTCATTACTACTGAAGCTGCCAGTTTGCTAAGTTTCAAATGGTTATTAAACAGCAAGCACAAACTATGCAGCCCTTCCAAGTTCCGGCACACTAAAGGCCTGTTCACACCGGGACGAATTTCGCGTGCGATATTCGCCGACGTTTAACGCCTCGTAACTAAACAAAGGGCGCCAATGTGAGTGTGCACACCGACGCGGAAAACGCCACGCGGAAAAGCGTTTTTCAAAAAACGCCTCGGGTCCAACCAATGAGATTGGTGCTTTTGCTCACGTGTCTGGAGCTTCTGAAGTTACAGTAAAACAAAACTTTGGGGCGCTCAAACACAAAACGGTCTTGCCGAGCACACATGTAACGGCGAAGAAGATATACGCCAAGTAGTGTCTACAGAAATAAGACGAGGAAGATGCAAGGCAAGATGAATGTAGAGCTGCTGGTCTCGTTGGTGTCGGAACATAAAGAACTATATGACAAACGCTACAAACTTGCTCTCTTCTTCTGAGTGACAAGCGAGTGTCAAGCCCCGTTCACACTACACGCGACCAAGCGACGCGATACCATTCATTTCAATGGCGAGCGGCGACTTCCGGCGACACGCGCGACAGCGACCGTTGGCGATTAGATGGGGCGTGTCTAGCGACGCGACAAAGTTGAGAAATTTTTAACTTTATGCAAATGAAGAGCGATTTTCGCGAGCGACAACCAATAGGAGTGGAGCGCACGTGATCCTTCTCCTCAGCCCCTGGGCCTGCAGTGATGGATGGCAAGAAAGCTGATTCGCTGTCTTTTGGATGTCATACTAGTCAACCAGTAGTGGGAACGCCCACTAGCGACCTCATCGCCAGCGCCTGGCGACTTGCAGCGACAAAGTCGCGTGTAGTGTGAACGGGGCTTAAGAAGCGTAAAGTTGTGCAGCGCCACTTTGTGTACCGGGGTATTTCTGTTTTACATTAAGCGCCATCTAATATCAGGGAATGAATTTGCATGTTCACTCGGCTCATCGTCAGCGAAAATCGCTTGGGTGTGAACACAAAAAACGCTGACGAATAACGCGCCGATATTCTTCCCGGTGTGTACGGGGCTTAAGTGTCTGAATTCACTCACTCGTTCTCCTTTAAGCAGACTATATTAATGGAGTAATGTAGGGAATGGTGAATGAGGGTATAGGGGGCGAAGCCACAGTTAAACCAAAATATTACACACACAGTAAAAATGTGGGATATTTGAAGGACGCTCCCTTATCATCGTTTGCCGCATCTTTGACGACGGTCCCTTAGCTCTCACAGCGCTGAAACTGATCCACATAGAGATCTGTAACAGCGTGTCACAGTGTGTCACTGTTTTACCGGGGAAAGGGATACACTTGCGTTTTACATTCAGGCGTATTACAACCACCGGCAATGCTGTGTTACATTTTTAACTGAAAGAAGGAATAACTGCAAAAATGACGGTGGATTTTGAGGAATGTATTAAAGATTCTCCCCGTTTCAGGTAAGAAGAACACACTCATGATCCACAGCTGACGCCTGTTTGCATGTGAATGTTCATGAATATTCTCGATGAACAACACACACAGTTATTATTTTAACAGCGTTGGCGGTTCTTCTCTAATGGGTTTCTCTGTGCGTTTATGGTCAATTGGGGGTTAAATGTAAAATACAAAAGATTTTTGTGTGAGGTTGTGGGTTTATGTTAAAAAACGACGAGTCTTAAAAACAGGTCTGGCTTTTATGCTTCGTTTATAACAATGTGATTTTAAACATGTACACTTGTTGTGGCTCAAAACATACATAGGTATGTTTTTAGGGCATCACTGGCGCGTGCTACATTGGGCATCATAGGCGCCCAAAAAGGCTGTCTCGCTCGTCATCATCATCTTACTAGGTTATGAGGACATTCGCCGTGTTCTTGAGGGACCAGTTGAATGAATGAGGGCTTTTTAAGGACACGGATCTCTAGCTGCAATAGCTCAGTTTCGCTTGATTCTTGCATAGTTGTGTTACAGATGTTGGTCGGTGGATGCTATGCTGAATCGTTTACTGATATAAATTAGATGAATCGGTCCAGCCTAATGCGAAAGTATCGCATTAAACCCAATGCAGCGATGATGTTCAGATGAATTCATGAAGGGGGGCGTTGCTGTGCTCTACACGCCAAGTATCAGGATTACTAATGCAGAAACACTGGCCATTTACATGCACAACTGCACAGCTTTCTTGAATATACACTCATCTGTTACAGTAGCATTCATTATCACAGTAATAAGGCTTGCATGTATAATGCATAATGCTACAGAAGAATTATATAGTCATTAATCCTTTTACCAGAGACAGTCATTTAGTAGTCATCGTCATTCGTCACAATTAATTATAACAGTCATCAATAGACTTTATAAAAACATAATATTGCTTTTTTTCAGGGCCATTGATTCAACTGCAATAAATAAACTAGCTAAATATTGTTAGCAGATGTTTAAGTTGGAGTCAAAAAGGTTGAGAACCACTGACTTAAAGGGATAGTTCACCCTAATGAAAATTGTCGTTATTTACCAAGTAGGTAAAAAAAAACAACGATGCTGAACAAAGTGAATTACAACACAATATAATATAAAATGCATGACATCCCTACATATAAATATAATCATGAGCATTATATAAAAACACAAATGCATAAAAAAATGCCCAAAATGCCAAAGAATGAATATGCATTTTAAAAACAGCAAGGGAACATGCAAACAAATGTTTAAAACCTGAGAAAATCTGAAGAATATCCTGATTGCTCTTTTCCATTTAATTACAATTAACAGGAGCTAAAGTGCTTAAAATCACATAAAATCATAAAAGTTTAATTAAAATGGTTCATACATTGTTTCAAAAGTCCTCAGGAGTATGCAGTAGCTTAGTGTGACTGAAATTTAATATTTTTTTATTCAAATCTTCTCTATAGCATACATGAGAAAAGTAGTAATGTCCCATCTGTTTGTGTAGAGTTTTTTCCATGAGACTGTTGACTCAACAAAAAAACTGATCTGATTGATTCATAAATCCGACTTATGTTTTATTATATTTCAGTTCATTGACTCAATCGTCCAGTTGCCATTGAATTAATGAATGTAGATTTTCAGTCTATGCATCTTATAATTCCAAAAGGCTGGAATATAGTTGTTTGGACTCCTTTTATTACGTTTTAACAGGACATTTAAAAAAAGATTCGTATTGGTTTGAAACTGAATTTTTGCTTTTTGATGAACGATTCCTTTTATTTTCTAACCTGGTGTCTAACGTTGCAGGAATTACGGCTATATAAACCAATACAATTTTTAGTTCTGTCCTTGTTCCCTGCACAGCGAAAGTCTTAGTTTCAGTAGTTTAGTCAGCACACGTGCAGCTTTCAGCATGGGCAGATTCACTTCAGATGAATTCTAATGAGGTGAATCACAGCTTTTGACAGTCATGGGTCTGTGATTGCCATCATACATGAAGGACACAGAAGATGCTGAACTTGTTCTCCATCTGTTCAGTTAATCTTTTATCTTCTTTGTCAGACATTGAGGCATCATGAACGTCATTCTACAGCAGTGATGTTAAATACTATGCGGTGAATGTGATTTCACCAAGTACAACATGTTCCTGGATCAACATCCATCATGCACATAGACATTTATCCAGCACACTGTCTGTGATGCTCCGAGCTCTGCCCTCTGTGTGTCTCTGAGGCTTCAAGGACTTTTGAAAGGCAGGCATCAGGGTCATGGAGATGTGGAGTCTCGGCAAGGGAGTTGATGTTCTGGGCAGACATCCAGTATTCCCAGCTTCACTCACTAACACTCTCTAGGGACCATACATGAAGAGCCAGACTGCAGATTTCTGGGAAAAATGATGGTTTATCCCCATGATCCTATAGGACAAGCGATTTGGAGAATGAATGGATGGATTTATCTTGTAGTGTTCTTTACATTTGGCACATTCAGACACACTTGTTTGTTTTGTCACCCTCTGCCATTTTCAAATAGTCTATTGAAGGAAAAGATCCAGTGTATGTACTTTTTACACTTATATTTTTTAAAGAAATTATTAGTACTTTTAGAGGCCTAGAAAAGTTGCAATTTTCTACAAAAGAGTCGACCACCGTCATGTTGGCTGCCATTTTGAGTACAAGGTCACATGACTAACACATTTTCCAAAGTATTGACCTGTCCGAATACACACGCTTGCAGTTTTTGTATTTGACCACTTGTCTACTTTCAAGACGTATTTGTGGTATTTGGCCCAAGTGTTAAGGGTTAGTTCACCCAAAAATGACAATTATTTCATTAATATAGTTATCATTAATTTCTCACCCTCATGTGGTTCCAACCCCGTAAAACTTTCGTTCATCTTCGTAACGCAATTTTTTTTTTTTTTATGAAATCTGAAAGATTTCTGTCCCTCCATTGAAAGTCTTTTCACCCGAAACTCTTGACGGTTCAAAATGGTCATGAAGAGAATGTAAAATAAATACATTTGTTTACTGATCAATTTTTATGTGAATACAACTTGACTTCCCTGTTTGCTTGCTTTCATCACTTTTTACTTCTCTTCTCGTGTACTGGATACTAGCTGAAAAGCTAATCAGAGGGATTTGTATCACTGACTGACCGACACCAATTCAACATGCTCAATTGGCCAAAAAGCTGCTGACAGTATCTGTCTAGTGAAACGCATTGGACAAACTGAGCTGACAGATGCTCAAAGATGGCTCAATGATGGCTCAAAGATGGCTCAAAGATGGCTCAATGATGGCTCATCAAAGTTGGCTCAAATACGGCTCAAATACGGCTCAAAGATGGCTCAAAGATGGCTCAATGATGGCTCAAAGATGGCTCAAAGATGGCTCAAAGATGGCTCAAATACGGCTCAAATATGGCTCAAATATGGCTCAGATACGGCTCAAAGATGGCTTCAATATGGCTCAAATACGGCTCAAATACGGCTCAAAGATGGCTCAAAGATGGCTCTAATATGGCTCAAAGATGGCTCAAAGGTGGCTCTAATATGGCTCAAATATGGCTCAAATATGGCTCAGATATGGCTCAAAGATGGACAACCTTCAACTTGGTGTGTCACAGCCTTTGAAACCATAATTTCTACTTGTGACGCCAATAACTCAGTTTTCTCAATACGATTTAGTTTTAGGTTTGTCTCTTACAGTAAAGTTACTCATATTTCTGGGTCTTAATTAAAGGGAGAGTTCACCCAAAAATAAAAATTCAGCCATCATTTACTCGCCCTCATGTCGTTCCAAAACCCGTAAGACTTTCGTTCATCTTCGGAACAAAAATGAAGATCTTTGATGAAATCTGAGAGCTTTCTGTCCCTCCATTGACAGCTACGCAACTACCACTTAGACACTTCAGAAAGTTTATAAAGAGATCGTAAAACTAATCCATATGAATTGAGCGGTTTAGTCCAAATTTTCTGAAGAGTCACGATCGCTTTATATGATGAACAGAATGAATTTAGACTTTTATTCACATTAAACATTGATCAGCGAACATAAACAGAAGCTCAACCGAACCTGCTTAATGCAAGAACAAACCTCATTGGTTCTTGCAGAAGCGCAAACGTGCTGCGGAACACAAGAATGAACCTCATTGGTTGTCGCACGTCAAGCGAACATGCTTGAGCTTCTGTTTACCACAAGGGATGTGTGCGTTGATGAATGTTTATATGTGAATAAAAGCCTAAATTAAATATTTTCATCATATAAAGCAATCGAGTCTCTTCAGAAAACTTTGGACTAAACCGCTCAATTCAGATGTTTTAGTTTTACGGTCTCTTATGAATTTTTTGTTGTCAAAGTGGTAGTTGCGTAGCCGTCAATGGAGGGACAGAAAGCTCCCAGATTTCATCAAAGATCTTCATTTCTGTTCTGAAGATGAAGGAAAGTCTTGCGGGTTTGGAACGACGTGAGGGTGAGTAAATGATGGCTGAATCTTTATTTTTGGGTGAACTATCCCTTTATATTTTACACTGTAGACTACAAGACACAGAAAGTAATTTCTGTCTAGTTTCCTCAATCTCCAGTTAGAAAGTAACTGGAGCATCTACAGAAACGATCGACTCCTTGAGGACACTTTCACACTAAACATGTTCTTCCACTGAGTCACTCCAGCCAAAAAGTGAACAGAACAAAATTGGCGGGCACCACAGTGTATATGTGGACCTGCTGACGGACAGCCGGCTGCTGTTGTGTAACACGGTGAAACTGGGACATGGAGAGTAGGAGGCAGGAACCAGAATGATCTTCCCAGTCATCCAAGCAGGCTGTCAGCTTTAGGAAAGGTGGAGCTGCCGTAGACTTGCTGGTTTCTACATGCTTCAACCTGCAGCCCGGAAACTTCAGTGCAGTATTGAGAGAGATCAGGTGTGGCTGCGGTACATACTGCACTGAAGAAGTCACAATCAGTTGAGTGAAACAGGCTACAGGCATCTAGGTGGGACAGTGTTGCA